TTTTTTTTTTTTTGCAACGTGAAGTACCAATGGTTGCTGTTTTATCGGCCTTCCAACACCAACAGTTTTGATGGAAACAATAGTGATTAAGCACACGAAGTAGATGTTAGTAGGAAAAACGGATAAGTGACTAGACCAAGCAGAAATGATACATCAAAGTTTGGTTAAATGATTGAAACTGTCATCTGACACTGACTTGCAATTACAATTTGGTTTTGCTGTCTCTTGGTTGCCGTAACTAAATTACCATAAATTTACTAAATCTTTGCAGAAAACTGATCGTTCTTCTCAAACCTTCTTCCCTTCATGTTGCCTTTTTGTTTTTTTTTCTTGTTCTTTTTCTTTTTTTTTTTACCTTGAAATTTTATCTTTGTCTTTTAAAGGTTTTATAATCTTATTCACTGACATATATGAACAAAGCAAAAGAGAATAGTTGACAAAACATTTGATTCCCTCTTACAAAGAGTTTTTTCTGACTTTTTTCTCTTTCCCCTTTTTTTTGCTTAGTTGATTAGTTAGAAACATCGAAGTTGCGTTTTACAAAATATTTTCAAGGACATTCAATCAACAATTTTTGTTGCTGAGAAATATAGCATCAGCGTCAGCAGCACCACGGGAAGAAAACGACGCCGGCAAAACGATGGAGGACGATGAGGAAAGAAACATTTTCTTCACAATAATTTCTTTCTGCCTTTTCTTGCTTCTTCCCAGAGTGTAAATCATAATTTTCTTCACCGTTATTCTTTACTTATGCAGGTTTTATTTTGGACTTAGTTAAAACAACTAGTCCAAAAATTTTTGGCATGTGATATGATGTTCTGTAAAATCAGTTAATTTACTCTAATATGCATTTTTTTCTTTCTATTTTAGCTTAAAAACTTTTTGCTCTATCTTTTCCACTTCATTTGTTTTTTCACTCTTGCTGAATGTCGCTAATCGGTTACGCGCGTATTTGTGGTTGTCTTTTTAATGTAAAAAAACTTTTATTCTTAGTAAACCTTGGTTAAATGAGGAAGAAACAGGTGGTTTTTGGGGGTTTCTTCTTTTTATTAAACAGAAACTCTAACGCTAGCAGTAGTCTGAATGGGATAAATGAAAGAAAAATTTATTCTGGAGACAGCCTATCTGCACAGAATTGAAATTCGTTTAACAATTGGCGCTCAGTATCTGTTACAGCCAGAGTCCCAGAAAATTTAACTTCATAACTGCGCAAGGGCTCCAAAGCGTTACCACTTGGACACAGGTTTATTCTCCACTGTATGCTTGGATTATGTTCAGAATTCTTGGCCATCATTTCCACATGCTTTTACAAAAGCATTTGTTTTTAAAGTGAACATATCAGAAAAAGTGGCAGCGGTTTTGGCCAGTGATGAACAGCGGAGAGAGTTTGAAGGGGTATCTGTAGCGTAAAATAAAAAACTGCATTGCAAAATAAAGTCAACCGGCTGAACTGTCTTCTAGAAGCAGAAAGTAACTATAGATTGAATTTACAGAACATCTGTTAAAATCACTTTTTCCACCCATTACCAGCAAAAATGATGTTCAGCTGATGTCAACTTTTTCTTCTCGACTGTATATATTCCACTACATTAAAAAAATTTTTTTTTAGATTTTGTATTTTGTTTCTTTCCTCAATTGGTTTAGAGATGTTTGGTTATACTTTGGTAATGCATCAGCAGCCATAATAAACAATAAAAAAATGATGGTCATTTTTTGTTTTAAATTTTCTGTAAGAGGTACTCCAAAAAAAAAAATCTGCAGAAATAAATGAGAAGAAACCAGAGATAAAATACCGTAAAATTGGAAGAAAAGTGCATTTCAATTTTTTTTACGGTTTTTTTATTTTTTGTTTTTGAGAGGAAGAGTAGAAAGAAAGTAGAAGATAAATTGCTATTACAGAAGAAGTGAAAAATAAATTTAAAGAGCAGGATATCAGTTGTCAAACGATGCTGCTTTTTTGCTGTACAAAAATTGTTTAGGGTTGTCGAAATTTCCGCAAAAACGTTGCGACCTTTGGTCAAAATTGGAAAAGTTTTCTCTTTTCTTTTTTTACCAGAAATATTAATTTATTCGTTCTTTTCATTGATGTTTATGTATTTGGCACAGACCATTTTTCGTATAATGCATTTTTGTTTCTCAACATACATTTTAAAGCCTATGTCTCTTTGATTTCCTCATTTTAAAGTTTCTTCTGAAGTCGCTTGTAGGTGTTTTTGGCTTGTTAAGAAAAAAACTGGATAGCGATACGGGCAAAAAAATCGTTGTTACAACAGATTGAACAAACCGGCAACAAAGGTTTTTGATAGCAAAACGACAAGACTGATGAGTTAAGGCACAGAAATTTAGGAATATATCAATTTGCCAGGATAATTTGGTAGCAGATAGGAAAAATTAAATTCTGAATCTTCATTTTTACTTTGACAGAAACAGTTGAAATGTTTTTAAAGTGTTATTCATTGAAGCTACAAACTTCACCTACTTTTTAGGTAAAATAAGGATAAAAAAAGCAAAGAAACATGTGATCTTAGCTTTTTTTTATCTTCTTCAATTCAATTCTGTTAAAACTACCATTAACACTTAGTGCAAAGACATGGAATAACGTATACGCAACTGATACAGCATCAAAATAGATTTAGATTAACATTATTAAATGATCTTTCAAAATAACCTTAGCAATCAGCATTTCATGGTTCTGGCTTACTAAAATATTGCTGAAATGCATCTTCTTTTTTTCCTTCTTTTTTTTTTTTGTTTTTCACTGTTATTATTACTGCTGTTCTTTACTGTTTAGTGATCATAAAAATTATCAGTCTTTTCAATCAAAAGCGCTTCACAGGTAGCAGCATCAAAGAGGTAAACGTTTTGATTATCGCTGATATTAGCGTAGCACTAAAACGATATGATTTTCAGTATAAGTTACTGCGATATAAAGTTTTATTTAAAGCGGCCACTTACAGTCAAACATTTGACAAATGTGCCATTGATAAGGCTTAAGATCAAACTCTGTAAAGCCAGAAGAATAATGAACATGCAAAAAAAATAAAGAACCAAATCTATGGTAATAAAATTTGACTTAGGATAACGAACGAATAAGTATGGCTTTACAGAAAACCATATAAACAGTATAAGATAAATTATATAACAAAGAATGAGAAAACAAAACTGTTACTTCTTCCTGTTTATCATACATTTTTTTATCCTTTATCTTAAAATTTTTTCACATCGTTTTTAGATCTGTGAAAACTTAATTATGCTTCGTTTCTATAATCTTTCTTATTTCTCAAAAGGAAAAAAAAGAAAAATAAAAAAACAGCAGCAGAAGTATTTTTATAATTTTGTAATTACTTTTTTATCGTTTTTAGAAGAAAATTACTGAAAAACAAATAAATTTTGAAAGAAAAAACATACAATGATAATTGTTGTTCAACAAAATTTTGATCATCAGCAGGTTCTCTTCTTCAGCAAACATTTTTCTTATTTTTCTTAATCCAAAAATTAACAAAAAAAAATTTTATCATTTTTCTTCTTCAACCACTTTTTATTTCCAAATAAGTCAAAAACAAAGAAACAATTTTATGTTGTCACTGATGAAATAGTTCTCAAAACAAAATGTTTGTTTTTGTTTTTCCAAACATTCAATTTTGCCGGTTTAATTTTCCGGTTTAATAAATAACTGATTTTCAGAAAAAAAACTTTTCAAACTTTTTTTGCTGTTTTTGTTCTCATCTTTTTTTTCTTGACCGATTAATTTTTCGCAAGATTGTTTTTGTTTCAATCTAAAAGATGCTTCTTTTATTTTTCTTTATAATTTTTTGATAGACTGTATAGCAAATGGTGAAATAATAGATGTTTGATGTCAGCTTGGCTGAAAGTTGTCGGTGATCAGTTGGCCAAAAAAAAAAAAAA